TCCTTGTCACCTTTTTCATACCTGATGAGTTTGCATCCCTGCATATTAAACCTCCTTATACCTTGTATGTGTGTGAGAATGAGACAGGAGTAAGTGTGCTCTCATGGCATGTTGTTTTTTATTTGTGCTGTTTCATGTGTTTTTGAGGTAAAGATATGTATGATCTTGACCTAATTCAAAACATGGAGGTCAAGCTGGGTCAAGATCATACATCTGTTTACCTCCAAGACACATGAAACAGCACAAATGAAAAACAAAATGCCATGAGAGCACACTTACTCCTGTCTCATTCTCACACACATACAAGGTATAAGGAGGTCTAATATGTACGAGTGTATATGAGTTTGGGAATGAGGGAGTGAGAGAAAAAGAGACAGAGAGAGAGATATGAGGTGAAAACTGCAAATTGCTGTAAACCAAATCTACTGTATATTGTTGTCTCTGTACACACACACTGTACATCCAGACACACACACACATTTCTCAGCTGACACCACTCTTCCACATCCGTACCAACACACCTACATCAAACCAAGAAATGACAAGCATGTAATTCAATGGTAACATTTTACATCTGGTGATATACAGGAAAAAAGACAAATTGAACAATTCTCCTCCAAAATAAAACCCTGACTTTACAAAATGCACGAAGAAGGCCTGTTCTCAGGACTCATAATCATGTATTTTTGAACTGTATGTTGTTTTTTATATTATGCTCATATTTGAGCTTCATTGTCTTTAGATGCATCTGGTCACTGTGACCCCAATATGTATTCAGATGATTAAAGAAAAGTTGAATGTAATAAACTGTGATTAGGGACTAGGGACATGATTAGTCTAAGAATGACACAAACTGACAGGTTTTTATATCCACATTTACGTTTTTATTGGATAGTTACGTTTCATGTCTGTCAGATTAAGTATGAAATTCATTTGTATCATTGTATGGGACTCTTGTGAAGGAAACACTTGTTTTATTTAGATCAGGGGTCTCCAACCTTTTTTAGGATGAGAGCTACTTTCAAAAAATAGAACAAGTCGATAGCTACTTTTTTTGGTATATATTTAGCACATTTTAACATTATTATATGCTTACCTTTAACCTAATTTAATTATTTTAAACTGCTTTATTTGGGGGTGGACCTCACACCCTCTAGGGCAGTGCTTCTCAAAGTGTGGTCCGCGGACCACTGGTGGTCCGTGAGCGCCCCCTAGTGGTCCGTGAGTCTATTGGTAACATTTCACATTTGAAATAAATAAATAAATGTCAGTTTTCCGCACTCTCGCGGGAATATCTCCGCAATGGAGCGAGGTTAAGTTTCACTTTCGATTGCATGATATAGCCCAGCGCAACACCGTCATCACACATATTGCCACTTGTTTGTAGCATTTTCAGGCGATTTGTAATCTGTTCTAGAAAAACGATGTGTTTTTTGATATTTGTGGAGTTAGGTGGTCCGCGAGTGTTTTTGTATTGGTTAAGTGGTCCTTGGAATGAAAAAGTTTGAGAAACACTGCTCTAGGGGGATCCGGGGGAAGATTTGTTTTTGAATGTAGAAGTTAAATGCATCAATCTGGTGTACTTTTGAGCACAAAATGAATTTATGGATACAGCTCTCAACACTCAGATGAAAGGGAGCTGTATACTTTTCAATAATCCAAACATCTTTAGAATATGATCACAACCAATAACAAATCATTTAAACTTGTTTATTCTTATCTTGTGTTACCTAGTTAGCATTCTTTCTTTTTATTTATGCATATTTTACTAATCACTCCCCTTTTAAACGTTGTTGTTTTTTGTTTTGTTTCTTTCCATTAACCGTCAAGTGGGAAATATGTTTTTTGTTGTTGTTTCTCTTATTATCCTAAGATACTGTTATGTATCTTTGGATAAAATCGTCAGCTAAATGTAATGTTATGTTTGGCTGTGAAAAATAAATATGAAGGACAGACCATCTATTTCAATTTTTTTTTTTTATTTAGAAAGGGGCAGGTAATATAAGATGTATTTCTTCTCCCTGCTCCTTTTCGCTCAATGGTGTGTTTGTTTGTTTGTTTGAGACATGTTTTGTTGGCAATTATTGTACATTGGGTTTTGCGTACCATGAGCGGAACAAATAAAAATGAAATAGAAATGATTTCTTACTTTATTTTGTTCAACTATTAAATAAAGGTGTGCTCTCTCTTGCTCTCTGTCTCGCTCACAGAGGCTGTGTGCTCCTCCGTGGCGATGACGGCTTGCGTTAAAAATTATAATAAACATATTTGTAAAGTGGGGGGACACAAACGGGATTTCGAAAAGTGGGTGGGACATGTCCCCAGTGGAAATTACGCCATGCGTATGTGTGTGTCAAGTGCAATAAATATATATGCAAGTTGCAACACACACACAGTAAAACTCTGCCCCTCATGTGTTGTATAGGCTGGCACGACTAGGCTGTTCAATGGGGCTGATGTGTTGATTCTGCCAGAAGGAAAGGTCTAACTCTTTATGATGTGCTGCTCCACATTGCATTACTTCCCGACTGCAACGCTGGTCCCGCAAATCAAGTCAATACGTGATTGGTCAATATTCATTGTGGGGGAAGGAGGGGCGTTATAGAGTAGTAGTAAGTAGATAGTTTGCTATGATTGAGGTTTCGTTTAGGGTAGCTAATTTTAATTACATTTCCTTTTTTTGTGTGTGTATTTTCTACATTTTGGATTTGCTTGGCGAGCTACTTATTAAGGGCTTGGTCCACGCCCATATTTCGAATAATCTCTGTGGTTTTTACATTATGCTAATATATTTGAGTTGTATTTTGTTTTTACATTATGCTCATGTATTTGAGATGTATCAGTTTAGCTTGATAGAGTTAAACAGTTTTATTTAGACATGTCAGGATCTATTCGAGAACAGTGTGAAAGGATGAATTTCTTACCCACTTTACATGTCCTCCTTACTAAAATTAGCTCAACAAAATGCATACATGCTGATTACTAGTGCTGGGGGGAAACGATTATTTTGAAAACGATTAATCGGGCGATTATTTGATCGATTAGTCGACTAATCGAACGATAATTTTTCTGTTGTTCAATTCATAAAAAACGTAATGTAAAAAAAACGTAATGTAAACAATTTTTTTTTTCACGATACTGTGTCTCAGGGGATCTTAATATTTAAGAACCTATTAATGTGTTATACCAGATTAACGGAAATAATCTCAGCTAACTCACGATACAAACCATGTTTACCAACACAAAACAAAACACAAGTCTCATAAGAAGCAAACTAAAATGCTATCTAAATGACCCCTGAGCGAAAAATGCTAACGGCCATTGGCACAGAACTCAAGATAAAAGTACCCTTATTACTTATCGTAGCTGCACATACAAGATATCCGATTAAAGCTGAGACTCCACAGATTATGTAGGTACATAGTATCATCACTGAGTGATCCGGACTCGCGACAGGGGAAGCAAATACAGTCATCACAACACGTACCTTCACAGAGCTTCTAGGGAGATCGTCTCACCGCCGTAGCTGTCAATCTGATCAAAATACGTGTTCAATGGCATTAAAATGAGAAAAAACGCGGCTGAATCGGTTAATCCATAGGTTTTTAACGTCTATGTATAAACAAATTATTGAATTTATAATCCATAATTCCATTTTTATGTAAAAATCAGAGAGCAAATGCTAGCTGCTAATGGTTGCCACCACAGCTAGCTGCTGCTTCCGGTCAAGCAGCAGTCTCAGTGAGATATAAATATCTTTGCGTTTTGGACTAACTTTAAAATATTCCCATGCTTTTGAAGACCTAGGGCGAGATGTTTTCGTTTGAGGGCTTCGTGCGCAATCCTGTGAGGAGGAGGTGGTAGCCGTTTCAGTCTCCATTGTGTTAGAAGTGCGATTGCGAACTGCTTGTTGCTTTGGGTGACCCACGTGTGTGTGGCGACCATATATACAGTCTATGGTGTCGACGATATTTTGAAGTCGACATGTCGACGCGTCGCTACAGCACTACTGATTACATGACATGTCACTTGTTAGACGCTTTTATCCAAAGCGACTTACATACTCAATACTGTGGACAATCCCCACAGGAGCAGTTTGGGGTGAAGTGTCTCAGGGACACAACGACATGCTGACTGCAGTGGGGTTTGAACCTGTGACCCCCTGATCCAAACACCAATGAACAACCCACTACACCACACACCTCCCACTGCACCCCTGCTGATAATGACATTTAATGACTCGTGTCCCCAATGGGAAAGTGTGGTCTCCAAAAGTCACTTTAATCAGTTTGTGTATTTGTGTATATCTGGAGTCCCCAAAAAGGACATTTAAATGATTTGTCCCCAATCTGAAGGTTTAATTCTGGTTGGATAAAAGTTATTTTAAACTAAAATCTCAAGTGATTTTGATAATGTTGGCACTCCCAGTAATACTTTCCACATACCAGCATCTCTCTAACCCCTTCAGAAAGTGATGTCCCCTAAGGGGGGGTGTAAAGATGTGTGTCCCCAATTGTGACTTAAGTGTGTGTGTGTGTGTGTGTGAGTGAGTGTGTGTGAGTCGACCCAGTGACAGATCAGTCTCCAAATATTCAGATGCTGTTTGTATTTGTTTGGCATAAATGATCTGTTCCTGTCCAAATAGTGTATGTCTATAGTATAAAAAGCGAATTTGAAATAATACAATCAATAAAAATGTTTGAAAAAAAAATCTCACTTGCAAGTTTTAAACTTACATTACCTTTCTTAAGGTTAGTTTGGCAAAGAGATTCTAATGAGAGGTCTTATTGTCTGAGGAACATGAAAAGTGTCTCCTTAAATAAATCCAACAAAAGCTGAGGCGATCCATCTAATGACCAGAAATAACAAACATGTTTAAAAAGCAGGTTTGTCTGTGGAGTCCTCCCTTCAGAGGTTTGTTCAGGCCTAGCAGTGTAGACACCAACCCATAATCCTCCTGCAGACACACCTGTAGAGGAGAGTATAAAGACCCTGGACTGAACTGAGTCAAACATCAAGCTTCAAGGAGTCTCTCCACAGCAGCTCCACAGCCTCCAGACCGACCCTGAAGATGACTCCCTCTGCCAGCCTGCTGCTGCTGCTCCTGCTCGGCCTCTCTCAGGCACTTCCTTTCCAGGAGGAAGGAATAGAAGAAGAAGAAGAAGAAGAAGACGAAGAGGACACTGTCGACATCACAACCAGGATTCTGACCTCCAACAACGCCACAGATGAGATCCTGCTGGAAGGAGACCTGCTGGCTCCCAAAACCAGAAACGCCATGAAGTGCTTTTTCGCGAACTGCCTGTGGAAGAAAGGCTCCAACGGCTTGGTAACAATCCCCTTCACCACGAGCAGTCAATTCACCAGCTCGGAGAGACAGAAGATCACCAACGCTATGAATGCCTTCCACAGCAAGACCTGCCTCCGCTTCGTCCCCCGTCGGAACCAGTACGACTACATCAGCTTTGAGAACAAGGGCGGATGTTACTCCTCTCTGGGCAGAGCGGGAGCCAAACAGGTGCTCTCTCTCAACAGGCAGGGCTGCATCTACGACGGCATCATCCAGCACGAGATCAATCACGCTCTGGGCTTCCAGCACGAACAGACCAGGAGCGACCGCGACTCACACGTCAGGATCAACTGGCAGAACATCAACCCGCAGATGGCCTACAACTTCAAAAGGCACGACACCAACAACCTGAACACCCCCTACGACTACAGCTCCATCATGCACTATGGAAGAACAGCCTTCTCCATCCAGCGGGGGAAGGACTCCATCACCCCCATCCCAAACCCCAACGTCCAGATCGGCCAGAGGAGGGGCATGTCTCGCTGGGACATCGTGAGGATCAACACGCTCTACGGCTGCTAATAACAATGCTGAGGATAAATGCAACAAATTCATACTTATTCTGCTTCTTTTTTCCTGTAATTAATCGAAAAGCCATTACTACTGTTGCTTTGGAGACAACATTATATTATCAATATGTTTCAACTGTTCCAATGGCAAAATATATTAATTCAAACATGCTCAAATGATAATAAGGCTATTTAAAGAAACTGTATTTCTTGTCATTTGTGTCCCTTAAAAAAAAGGTAACATTGTAGAACAAACATGTAGTCAGTCCACTTCTTCAATATTTCACTAACAATAGTCCAAGTATTGAGAAATATACCTAATAATGAAAAATCTTTCACGAAAACAATAAAACTAAATTGTTATGTAACTTGTTAGTATATACACATTGGTAAACTGACATTTAGAAAACAAAAATGGCTGCTGGCAGCATATCTACTGGTGTAAACGACTGCAAAGTAACAGGAACACTAACAGTCTCTCAGAGAGACATCTGAACAGCCATTCTTTTTTTTTAGCTCCACAATGAAACAGGTGTTCAGTTCCTATAGCACAATAGGGGTGTGATGTGTGTGGGTGGGTGAAGATGGGGGATTTCATTTGCTGTTTAAACGCAAGTGACGATAAATATCAAAAGATAACGGTTATAGATGCGGTCTATTGTTAGACACTCGTTGAATTATCGCTTACTTTGGGTTTGCTTTTGTTCATGTACCTTGGATGAACTGTGGGGTTGTAACCAATTTTTTTCTACCTTTTGCCCCAGTGAGAGGCGTGCTCATTCCATCTGTTTTCATCCTCCTGTGTTATCTCAGTCTGGCAGCCTGCCTAACAACTATTTCTGCCATGATGTGAGGACATTTTCCCACTGGCTATTCATATGGAGGACCTTCTTCCAAGACACAGCAGACAGGCAGAAAGCTGCCACTCTGCTGTGTTCTACAAATAAATGTCCTTCGCATTATAGTCTGTACACCAGCAATTGTTTGAGGCACAGTTGTACTAGTCAGACCAATTAGTCGTGTGCAAGGCAATAAATGTAAATGTAAACAAACACAAGACATCTGATTCATTTTGGGTATGTTAAAACATTTTTTAATATTTCAGACGGTTTTCTTCCTAAGGTTAAGGGATAAGTGGTTCATGGAATATGTATATCTTGCCTAAGAATATAAGTGCAGAAGGTTTTTTAGTCTGTATTTACCTTGTAATTTGTCTATGACAGTGATATCATCAAGTTTTGCCTGTAAAAGACATAGATAAAAGTATTAATGTTTCTTTCTTATATTTAGTTTTTTTGGAACCTAGTAAAAAAGCTTCTTAGTTAAATATATTGATAACATATCTTCTATTATATATTTTACTACTTTCCTAATCTAATTATATTCCTAAACAAAATGTGAAACAGTGTTCTTGGATTTTTCGAATTGTAACCACCACCTTGATTGGTATTATTGCTATTACAATTATTTAGCCATTAAAAGGTTTTCAGCTTTCACAGCATTAAGGGGGATATCGGATCAGTCCCTGGTGTACTGAAGCACCAAAAACAGCAAAGATGCCAGAGCATATTATGGAATGCCATTTAAGCCAAAATTAAATAAATACATAAATAATTAAATAAATACATATATATATAAATATGCCTATGAAATACATTCTGAAATAAATAAATGAGGCAATACATATGTATACATTGTACATTTAAATACACATGTATTTATTTCAAGAGACTTGTATTTCATAATGACACATTTATTTATTTCAGGGGACTTGTATTTCATAATGACACATTTATTTATTTCAAGAGACTTGTATTTCATAATGGCACATTTATTTATTTCAGGGGACTTGTATTTCATAATGCCACATTTATTTATTTCAGGGGACTTGTATTTCATAATGACACATTTCCATTCCTTATATGCAAATGAACAGGGCGTGGTTAGCTCACAGGTCCAGACCAAAGCAACAGCACCACACTCCAGTACTCTTAAGTGGTTTGCAAGCTGCCAATAAACCAAACCGGTTTCAGAACTATTCTTGTGCTTTTCTGGTGCTTAACTGGTTCTTCTCTGGTTCTGAGTCCAGAGCCAGTTGCGGGCTACAGCCTGATTTAGCTCTGGTTCTTCCTGTTTCAGCCGCAGCGGAGCCGGCTCTAAACACCGAAAACCGGTTCTTACCTGACCCCACTTGGCTGCCCGGGAAGAACCAAGAACCACGCTCACGTCGGAAGGGGGATAGATTAACCTGAGCCATAATAACAGTTTATGGCGAGTACGGAAAATGAAAGTTGTAACAAGCAGTAGCGCTGAGCAAAGTGAGAAAATCGTTCTTATTATACATCCATGGTGAAGATCAGTTATACCTCATTCACACCAACGGTGTTTCAGGGCCGGTTCGGAGCTGGAGCTTGAAAAGCACCGGGTTTTCCTCTTCACACGGCAGCGGAGCAGCCTCTTAGCTCCGGAATCCGGTTCGTTTCAAGCACCAAAAAATTGTCCGGCCAGAGCAAAAGCACCGCTTACGTCGAGGCGGGGGCAGGGGCGGGATCAACTCCTGTACAACAACAAAAAGCCGGCGTTGTATCCAGTTTGTACACAACAATGGATAAACTTAACAAGCAGCAGTGGTCCACTGAAGAGACCAGCTACCTGCTGGGAATCTGGTCTTCCGAAGAGGTACAGACGAAGCTGGAGCACAATCGGCCATTGTTGTTGTTGTCAGTGTCAGCTGTGAGGGGTATTCCGCGTGGTTTGGCTTTATGAAGCAGGCACGCAAACGGTTACGTCATGACGCAAACGATGACGCAATGACGCAGCACCAGTCGGACTCTGGGCAGTGTGAAAAGAGCCGGAGCTAAACCGAAGAACCGGTTCTGAACCTGAAAAGCTCTAATAATAATAATAATAATAATGCATTACATTTTTTTATTAGAACACTTTTATAGGTGCTCAAAGTGCTTTACAAGTACACATTACACATATTAGACATGTAAGAGTCATTACTGCGGACATTACCCACAGGAGCAAATGCGGGTAAAGTGTCTTGCCCAAGGACACAACGGCCTGACGCAGTGGCGGCCGAGGCGGGATTCGAACTGGAGTTCACCAACGCCCCTTGATCTGATGACCAACGCACTGCGCCAAAACGGCCAGCACGGAGCTTGAACCGGAGTTGCGCTGGTGTGAATGAGGTAATAGTTGAGAGGACGTAGTGTCCGTGACGTCACCCATAGGATTCTGCAGAGTTGCCGTGAAGCCCTTAGTAGGCGGAGTTGGCCACTAACGGCTTGACAGCAACGTCAGAGTCTAATCCCGACTGCTCCAAATAAGGGCAAAGAGGCGGAGCCGAGGCGGGACCTGCTGCCTCTGAACTGGAAGTAAACAGAGCTAGCTCAGGCTAAGAAGCTAAGCGAACATGAAATACATGCATACCAAGTTACTGCTAACAGTGTAGTTCCCCTATATAAACGTTACATTCATAATCAAATGAGACAATCTGCAAGAGAATTAGCTATATTTTGTTATTCTTAATGCTTGTCATTCACACGTTAAGAAAAGAAGTACCGATACATAGCAGAACAATTGTGGCGATGTTCAGTTTAATAAGCCTTGTTCAACATAATTTATTTAGCTAATACTACAGCAGGCAAACCAAGTCTGCGTTTCGCTGCATTCCTTGATCTCCAGTTATAACGACGGACTCCACCGCCCGGACCTAACGGAGCCGCAGTGGGCTAGCTCCGGGACGCCGGCTGGAGCTAGCCCCCTGCGGCTCCGTTAGCTCCGGCGGCCACCACTGGGATAATTGGGTCCCCTATTAACATTTGCTCCCGTTTAGCATTATGGTCAGTGGTTCCCAACCTTTTTTCCCAAGAGCCCCCCCAAATGACTCCTGTTGGAAGTTGCGCCCCCCTGAATGAAGAAATTAACTAGTTCAGAGAGAGTAAACAACATATTTGGGGAGATGGGGCGTTAACATCTGGAGACACAGGAGATGTCTCTCTCATCTGTGGAGCTTAGCGTAAAACCCCCTATGTCCGCTAGGTCAAGCCATAACATTTATAGTATCAAAATACGACTGCATTATCACATTCCTTACGGAAGATAAGGAGCAGGGCTGATCGTAAATGTAAACACACAGTAAATGTTAAATATCTTAGGAGTAAGGAATACTTATTCTTTGACACTTAGGAAGAGAGAAGAAATATTATCTAACAATATATATATATATATATTATGTATATATATATATATATATATATATATTATGTATATATTAATCTTTGCAATATTTGTCATTCCTTTTGTTTCTAACTTTATGTATTGTGTGCATCTTTAAATTATTAATAATTCATATAATCTTTTATTTTACACCATCATTCCATATCATTTTCATTATGTGTACCATTTTCTTATCCTTTAATTTTTTCTGATTTTTTATTTTATTATTGCATATAATATAACTAACTTATAAGGAAGCAGTAATATAGCCCCAATGTTAAAGAGAAATGCAATGGTATCACAATATAACAGTAAAAAGAGCAGTAGTTGCGTATATCTATCCACCTAATTTTCTTATTTTCTCATTATCATACTGAAAACATTTTACTCGGTCAACAAATCAGTTCACCTCTTGTTCGAGATATCATATCCTAGAGACTGAGCATCTTCATCAACATCCCTCAGTTTCATTGTACCTTCTTGAAGTACATTCCTACTATAAAGCTGCCTCAGTCTACTTCTCCTGGCAGCTCCATTAGAGAAGCTGTGGGGATCTGTGTTTCACTGCAACCCACCACACTGATGAAGAATCAGAGAGGACAGTGGTGACCTTCTCTAACTGCCAGTTCTCCTGTTGAATTACATTAAAGTGAGGAAGAAAAAAGGAAAACAGCAGTTGTGCAGCATGAGGCTGGATTATATATAAATAGGAGAAATGGCTTATGTTAGTAGGCTACTACTGAAATGCATTTATATGCAAAAATGCAGTATAAGAAATCAACTCATCATGGAGAAATACCCTAAAGGGGACCTATCATGCAAAATGCACTTGTGTACGTCTTTTATACATGCATATGTGTCCCCGGTGTGTCAGGGAACCCACCAAGTGTCAGAAAACACAACCCTCTCTCTTTTCCTCCATACCCAAATCTCTAAAAACGGGGCTGCAACGGAGCTGATTATTATTTGAATTGTTCTGACGTCAGAAAGGGGTGCTCCGCCCTTGCCAACTTGGGGCCCCAAGCGACATTGTGAGATGAGGCCCCCCCCAACCGACAGGAGTGAAAAAAAATGTGCACATATAATTCCTGTTTATTATTATTATTATCAACAGTTACTTTTTTATACAGTGAGGTAAATGGTAAATGTGCATGTATGTCGTTCAGTATGCGTTTACAGGTGAATACGTCTGCATTTCCTGCCAAATACTAGCCTCAAAAAGATTAAAATATAATGAATGCAAATAAACTACTTCTACTAATAATGATAATCATAATCAATTCAATAATAAAAATACGATATTGTTTTATTATAATATAGTTGTAATATAGTCAAGACCTAACATGCTTATGACCTGCACAAAAACTGATATTTCTTAAATCTGTATTCATAGTTCCCTCTGTCAGCAATGCATCAACAACTACACACACATTTCTTTCAGTATTTCTCTGTGTTGTGGTTGACATGATGATGACTGTTAGGAGTTAAGGGGAGAGGCTGAGCATCACCATGAAATGTGCAAATTGACATAAAAATGAATAAAAGGGGAAAAAATGCTCCATGTTTTTTAGGCTGTAAACTTTAACTGTTATGTAAGCCAACTAGACAGACAGTGTATCACTCTTCCTCCTGTACATTAGCAGATAAAAGGCATAAAATACTTGAATGAATGTTAAATAAAGAATGCTGGAAATAACTGCATCTCCATTAGCCTATATGCTCTGCAGAGACTGCCTTCTTCATGTCGTGAATTGCAGCTGATGTTTTAAGATGGCAATTGGCAATTTGACTTATACAACATTCGCAAGTTGTACATTTGACTCATACAATAACCCACCTTCGAGAGAGAGTGATGCTCTAGTTTCTTCATGTTTTGTTTTTTGCGCCGGACTGAAACTGTCTTTTCACCGACATATCTTTACCTGCACTAGTGGCCGTATCAAAGCCGTGATTGGTCAGATGTCGATACATTACAATGGTGTCGGGTTACAGACATGCTCCCCTTATCATCTCTCACTCTCACTCTCGCGGGGGGTGCGCGGAGAACTGAGCGGAGAACTGCGCACAGCAGCTGAGGCCCTCTGGGCGGGGCCCCCTGCAGCCTGCGTGATTGGCCTGTAGGGAGGGGCGGCCCTGCTCCGCCTATATGGGCAACTCTCCACCTATCAGGGGAATGAGAGACCGCTGGAAAGCGCTGGAGACGCTGTAGTACATATGCCAGGCCTGTAAGTGGCGCTGTAGTCTGCCACAAAAGCAGAATCAGCCCTTGCAAAAACAGGGCTGGAAAAGACCAAATAGAGCGAAATGAGGCATGGCTAAAATGCATGATCTGTTTGGTATTTTGAAAAAATAACTTCACAGACATGTTTTATATAGGTATGGCCCTACAACATATGTTTCAAATATAGCATGATAGGTCCACTTTAAAAGAGCTGTATTATACTGTAAAAGTACATTTTCTTGAAAAACACTACAGGTGCAGAGGAGTACAAATGAATGAACTCATATAAAAAGGAAAGTTCTCCAGTTGAGTAAGACAGTTCTGGAAATGTTATGTAAAATATGCACATGGGGCATTATCTATTTTTTACTTTTGCTAATTTATGAGAAATCTATAGACAAACACCTAAATATGTTTTTTGAATGTTTTCTTTTCACTTGTTTCCAATATGGCATGTTACTTAAGCAAATTAACTCAAAATTGACCAGACTTATAAAATAAAATATGTTTTAACCTTGCCTTTAATCAAATGAATTCTGGATTGAAAATCTGCTTGTTTTACAAAGATTTGGTTTAAAGTTACACTTTTAAAAGCAAACCATGTCACAATCATATTGCTCTACTGCTGTATAAATCTGCAAAGTAATATCCGAACATTCATTATTGACAAGTGAAGATGCGCTGTGTCACTTTACACTGCTGATGTATCAGTGTGTGCTTATGGGCAGGGCTGCACATAACTGGTGCGCAGGTGCGCATGCGCACCTCCGCCAAAAAAAGAGCACCGGGTCATTTGAAACAAAGCGCATTTGCGTACCAACATTGAGAGAGGGAGAGAGGGAGAGAGAGAAGGGAGAAGAGAAAAGAGAAAATAGAGGAGAGATGAGAGAAGAGAGAAAGATATTTGCGAGTTGCATATGAACCATGATATGAACTCAGGGCCGGCCCGTAGCACTGGCTAGATGTTCGCCAAGGGCGCCAGATCTGTGGAGGCGCTGCGCTGGCAGTTCTGGGAGGGAAAAAAACATTTTGACCGTTGGGGCTCATCCTAATTTTCGGCCTTGATGTAACAATATTCATAATTAAGTAAATGTAACACCCTTTTCACCCCGATTACACCTTTCATTTGCCCTGTACGATGGGCGCTGAAAGTGATGAAAATGGGGGATGTTGGCTTATCAGGCGCAAGCTCACAGACAAAATGCGAGTGAGAGGGAGGGTGCACCGGTACCAGCGCTGTTGTTATTAGAATCTGGTGCCGTGCTAGCTGCTCTAACGGAGATAAGAAGAAGATGTTTCTACAATAATGTGGAGGGAGAGTCCTCTCCAGTCAGACTGAGAGGCTGATAAGTTAACTACAGCTCAGTGAGGTAAAGGACTCTTAGTCTAAGTTCAAACGGTTTGGTCACAATTTATGTAAACACATATTTTCAAGGCACTCCTTTGTAATTATTGGGATAAACAGGTTTGAAATCATTCCAATGTATACTATAGGACAGTAACCAAAAATATCCTTTAAAACTGGAGAGATACAAAAAAAAGCATAAATAAATAAATGTTAAGGTAAAATAAGATATGAATGAACAACACAAATAAAACAAGTTACATTCATTTGTTATTGGCTAGGGTAGGTTATTGGTTATGTTCACATACTTATTTGATTACATCCACTTGTCTAAGATGACAACAGAGACTTTCGACCCAAAACCAGCTGTTGACTTGTGGATGCAAGCAGCTAATCGCAGACTCAACCAGAGAGAAAGAAGTAGGCCTACATCATCAGCTACCATGTCTGACAGAGAGGAAGACAGTGAGGAGAACAGTCAGGAGGGTAGTGATGACAGCTTGTAGGATTACTGGTCGTGCTAATGTTGTCTTGTGTTCACCTCTGATCTGCATGTGTGTTCTGTGTTCACCTCTGCATGTGTGTTCTGTGTTCACCTCTGCATGTGTGTTCTGTGTTCACCTCTGCATGTGTGTTCTGTGTTCACCTCTGCATGTGTGTTCAGTGCCGTGTGTCTGGCAAATAAAGTCAAGACCCCCTCAAAAGTTACGGTTTATTTCATTTTAAGGATGAGCACCAAGCAACATCTCCAGGTGCTCCTTTGAGAACCAGGGCAAAAAAGTTATGTGCACCCCTGCTTATGGGGCATCCTTCACTGGGTGTCATGATGCATTTTATGTGGCGATGATTAAAGTCTGCACAGGTGAAATGATGATGTGGGAAAACACATTGACACGAAGGGGGGGCGTTACACCTCCCTCGTTGTGTTTGGTGTATAGATGAAGGGGGGAGGAGGAGAGGGGAAGGAGGAGCATCATAACGCCGCCTGAAGGACGAGCTGGAAACCAAAATCCAGTCGGTACCGGTCCTGGGAATATATGCAACACACCGGATGTGGTGAAGCGGCGTCCTGTAGTTCTACGTCGTGTATTAAGCCGTCATACATACACATGCGTAGTCAACGTATTTTAATATGATGTGGTCGATAAGCACTGGCTGGACAGAGCAGAGAGGTCGCTGACGGACTGCGCGTAATGCTGAGTGGAGAGCAGTATTTCTCGCTGTGTATTCCAGCCTAGACGGGCTATTGACAAGAGATTCGCACTCGTTCTGCAGTGCAGCTCGTCATTATTACCAGATGCTCTCCGCCGGACCGGACCCGTTCAGTTTCATGCCGACCGGAGCCTGAGCCCGAAGGATGCAGGTTAAAAACCAGATATGCACCGAGCGGAGCAGCACCGACGACCCGGAGCAGGATGACAACCAGGAGAAGAAAACCTCGTGTTTTTCCAACATCAAGATTTTCCTGGTGTCGGAATGCGCTCTCATGTTGGCACAGGGCACCGTGGGCGCTTATCTGGTGAGTTCCCCCCAGGGCAGTGATCCACCGCGGACACAATGTTGGTGAACGTCGTATGTGTCAGTATCTCTCAGGTAACATCGGGTTAACGCAGTGCCCTTCAAACCGGCACACAGACACACAGTGAGTAACGATGCGGCGCTTCTCACTGATGCGGTTAATAATCATATTATTCTGATCACATTAGAATAATCACATCCTCCAGCAGCCATGGGACCGCGGTGCTCTCACTGATTGATGACTTGCTGCGTATTATCCATCAGGCCTATGCACCATCTGCATGACACAAAGCGCGTCACAGCGGCCGTAAAGGCTCCACGTTGTTGTTGGACAATTTCATAGAGCTGTTGGGGAGTAGGTTATGAAACGAGTGGTCAGGAGGTCTATCAAACCTGCCGGCTCTGCTTCATTCTGCAGCCTGGAGCCTCGGTAATGCAGGAGGCCTTTGACACTGGAGGATATAGGCCTAGAAGATGACGTGATCACAACAGAAGCGACTGTATCTTAGTGTTTTCAGAAAAGCTCCCTATATTTGATTCTCATTTACAGTGTACTCCCAATCACAGTCTTGTCCATTATTGTGATTTTGTATTATATTGTTAGAATGCTGTCAAAATCGAGGGATTTCCCCATGTTAGTTGACAAACCGACTAATTGGTTGTTTATTCCCATTAGACTAAGATTTCTTTAGCTGATTAGTCCATGCATTTTCATGCTGATTTATTTCTAAGAAACATATGCGCATCTATGGTAAACACAAGGGTTAAAGGGGTGCTTTTGCATCTTCTTTATGAAGACACTCAGTTTTACAGATATGTCAATTGAATCAACTAATCGATTAAATGAGAGTTAGTGAACTAGAATTTATTAAGTCAAGGGCAGGCCAATATTAGAGATAAGACGTACAGAAAATGTATCCAGGAGGCACAATTTACTAGAAATGTGAAGTTAAAGCAAATGTGAAGTTAAAGCAACCCCCCTAACACCAAACATATTAGAAAACCCATGTACTAAAACTGTACGTATGTGATGAATGGATTTTGAAGGGCACTGAGTGTAATGGCAGCTGTTTATGATGTGGCCAAAGCCAACTACAGTCATTAATTGTGTGGCCCACCCACATTATAATACGATACGATATACTTTATTGTCCCAGTAGGGAAATTTGTTCTGGACTCCGTCCTGCAGTTCCGCATACATGTATGCAAACATAGTATAGACATTAAGAGACATACACATATCATCAGTCATACACCGTTTGAACAAACACAATAAACAGACGCACATACTGACAATGGCGACCTATTGCACAACCCTCATGGCCAACATTGGCCACTGACTCATTTTATTAGTCAGAGTTGGCCTCACCACTTACTGTAAATGTGTAAAAATATGAATGATCCCACTTTAATCATGGATTATTATTTGCCTGATCAAAGCCAAAGCCCCTGAAAGGCGTCAGCAGCAAAGTCTTGATACTATAAATAATTGCACATGCCGTTTGGGGCTTCATTTTATTGTTCATGAGGGACAGAACACTTAGTTCTCAAATTACCCGCCTTCATTCTCAGTCATATCAACAAAATCCTGGAAGGAATTTAACAACAGAGGCAAGGTCAGCTGCTTGACTCATTAGATCTGACTTTATAAACAGTATTTCCAAATAGTGTTTTTCTTGAGATTTCGTACAGTTTTTAAATGGACCTCTTCTATATGAAAAGTCTGAAACTTCTGTCGTGATTCGGGCTATACAGTATGTAAATAGAAAATAACCTACAATTTTCTTAATGTAAAGGAAGATTTTGCTTGCGGGTTTGGAAGATAAAGCAACAAAAATCTGAGGTGTGGGTCGGACCTAAATTACTTTAGACTTGACAATATAAAAAAAAGACTTGCAACTGGACTTGACTTAAGCACCAATGACTCTTGCCTTCACTTTGACATGGACCTTTTGACTTGAAAATACTTGATGCTCTCCACAAGCCCATCGATTACCACCACATTTGTTTCCCTGAGCAGGTGGTAAACAGAAAACCTGTAACATACTAATTACTAGTTACGAAATGGCAAACATGGCATTCATTTGGTAGAGAGCACATTATGACTAAACGATTAGGACCATGGACTTGACCCAGGACTTGACTGTCTGGACTTTGGACTTGAGTGCAAAGACTTGAGACTTTAGAGATAAAAAGGAGGCTTTGTTTAGGAAAAGAAGAACCTGCCTTGGTGTAGACTGCAGCTTGGCACCAACAGTAGTGAGTTGGTTTTAATGTGTTTTGCACCAGTCACAAATTCCAAGTGCATTAGTGTTTACCTTGAAGACTGCAGTGTATATTTTCCCTTTTTAAAACAGCATCCCAAACGAAAAGTGCACCTTTAGCAAATCCCGCTGTAAACAAAAGCACTGTAGCACTGCTTAATTCAGCCTCTTTCTCGGTTCACAGGGTGTGTTTATCTCTCCTCTTTTTAGAAGCTTTTCTTCTTCCTGTTTCAAACAAATTACAGTAAAACTTGAGATGGCAGAGCTATAATGACTGAGGATCAACACTGTCAGCTAAGCATCACCTGCATTACAGCTAAGTCTGTTTTCATCAATAATAATAATAATCAATTTGATTTATAAGCGCAATTTACATTTGCGTAAACAAAACTCAAAGTGCTACAGAGTAAAAAGGGGTAAAACAAAAACAACAATTAAAATAATTAAAACAACAGAATAAAAGCAGTGACATTTATGCCGGCATGGCAAAATGTGGGGGTTTTAAAAATCTAGTAAAAGGCTATTCTAAAAAGATGCATTTTAGGCGGGTGCTAGTGGAGCCTCACAGATGGGGGTGCAGCCCAGTGGCAGGTTTGGGAAGCAAAACTCGGTTCAGAGTAAGAACAAATAACAATTGTCCGGTACCCGGATTTATAAGAGTTGTGAGGACAGGAGGACCCCAGCTCTCTCTCTCTGCTCCGGATCAGCTGATAGCTGCACGGTGCAGCTCAGCGTCTCTCTCTCTCTCTACACACAGCGGCTCCGCTGCACGTTTAACAGCTTCCTCTTTGTCAACCTTTCTTATGTTCTTTCTCTAACACGTAATGAAGGTTATTAAGCATTTTAGCTCTGCTGTAATATTGACCGCCATTTCCTTTATGAAGTGAACCAGTCTGTGTCCTCGCGCTGTCCTCACATCCCCGGACTGTGAGACAGACTCGGAGGAGCACAGGGAGGTCAGTATTGTTTATGAAGCAGGGAATAGAAAATACATTATTGAAATGAAAATACAATGTACTTCTACAAACAGTGAGCAGCTGGGCAGCTGTAGCATGTGTATTGCAGGCATTATACACAGAACAATGGGGGCTATCCACCCTTATCCACAATGTAAAGTAATTCACACAGCCTCTTCCCTCTTCTCTCTGTGAGGAGCAGCAGGTTCAGCTTTCAGAACAAAGTAACACAAAACTAAAATGGCATTCATTTTTTTAAATATGTCGTGTTGGAATAGATTTATTTATTTTCTTCTCAAGAGAGCACAATGTGTAGGTATTTATGTTAGTATTTCAAAAAATCTCCTGGGGGAGAATCCCCCCAGACCCACCTACAGGGGTTTGGTTTTCAGCATGTCAACTCTTTCCTGTGGAGAAATTGCAGGATCGGCTCCAGGTCGCCCTTTTTATTTACTACAAGACAAATGTGCCTTTTTATTTCTTGAAACCAGCTCGAGTGCACTAGGATTTGAAAATACACAGCCGGAACAAATCTGCCACTTCCTTACAGAGCCCCTCCTCCAACACACATGAACGCGCACATGACCAATGAGGGCACAAGATAAGGTTGTGCACAGATGGAAGGCTGACAGGCAGGTAGGCCATCCAGTTACTTTAGCCGGGCCGGCTAAAATGATTGGTCGTGCTTTTTACAGTACTACGGCTTCCACAGTAAAGGCTGCTTGATTTTTTTGTCAAAGCATTTAATATATTCATTGCTATCGGGATGTTAAGAGCATTCCATGGAATATAACAACAAGTGTATCTCGAGCCGGTTTCTCAAACTTACCTACCCTACCTTTAACTTCCCATGGAAATGTATCGGAAACTTACTGGAAATTGACCGGAAATGTTCCGCCCCTTTGCAACCCTAAAAGCCAAACACATGCCCTTTTTCCCAGGTTGGCGCCAGGCTAGCCTCAGGGTTGTTTTAGGTGGAGGATGAGGAGTGTGGGGATGAAGCATAGTGGCTCATCTACTGTGTGCAGGGCCGCCCCTGGCCAACTTGGGGCCCCAAGCAACATTGTGAGATGAGGCCACCCCCCCACAACCGACAGGAGTGAAACAATTTTTTTTGGAAACAAAGTAGGCTACTTTGCAAATATAATTCCTGTTTATTATTATTATCAACACAGTTACTTTTTTATACAGTGAGGTAAATGGTAAATGTGCATGTATGTCGTTCAGTATGCGTTTACAGGTGAATACGTCTGCATTTCCTGCCAAATACTAGCCTCATAAAGATTAAAATATAATTAATGCAAATAAACTACTTCTACTAATAATCATAATCAATTCAATAATAAAAATACTATATTATTTTTATTATAATATAGTTGTAATATAGTCAAGACAAAACATGCTTATGACATGCTCAAAAACTGATATTTCTTAAATCTGTATTCTAGTTCCCTCTGTCAGCAATGTGTCAACAACTACACACACATTTCTATCAGTATTTCTCTGTGTTGTGGTTGACATGATGATGACTGTTAGGAGTTAAGGAGAGAGGCTGAGCATCACCATGATGATGACTGTTAGGAGTTAAGGGGAGAGGCTGAGCATCACCATGAAATGTGCAAATTGACATAAAAATGAATAAAAGGGGAAAAAATGCTCCATGTTTTTTAGGCTGTAAACTTTAACTGTTATGTAAGCCAACTAGACAGACAGTGTATCACTCTTCCTCCTGTACATTAGCAGATAAAAGGCATAACATACTTGAATGAATGGTAAATAAAGAATGCTGGAAATAACTGCATCTCCATTAGCCTATATGCTATGCAGAGACTGCCTTCTTCATGTCGTGAATTGCAGCTGATGTTTTAATATGGCAATTGGCAACATGACATTTGACTTATACAACATTAGCAAGTTGTACATTTGACTCGTACAATAACCCACCTTCGAGTGATGCTCTAGTTTCTTCATGTTTTTTTTCTTTCCCTCTAGCTTGCGCCGGACTGAAACTGTCTTTTCGCCGACATCTCTTCACCTGCACTAGTGGCCGTATCAAAGCCGTGATTGGTCAGATGTTGATTCATTGCAACGGTGTCGGGTTACAGACGTGCTCCCCTTGTCACCTCTCACTCTCACTCTCACTCTCGCGGGGGGTGCGCGGAGAACTGAGCGGAGAACAGCAGCTGAGGCCCTCGGGGCAGGGCCCCCTGCGCAAGGCGGGGCCCCATGCAGCCTGCGTGATTGGCCTGTAGGGAGGGGCGGCCCTGACTGTGTGTCATCAACAGGTTGCTTTTGTTGGTTCGAGTGGCACCGTTCAATCATGCTGTTACTGATTAGCACCTGAAGCTAAATGCAACTCAACATATACAATATTTTACTCTTTAAGACTCGTACCTTCCAGGAAGAGATTCATCATGACCACAAAAAACATAAAATGTCTACCAAGAGACACAAATGATATAAAATAGACATAAATTACTGTAAAGAGAAAACAAATGACTTGAAACAGATACTAAACTACAAAAAAGGAGCTAAATGATCACAAACAATAACATTGACACAAAATGACTACAAAGCAACTACAAAGAGAAACAAATGAACTACAAAGAGACACAAAATGAACATAAAGTGACACAAAATGACTTCAGAGAGATAAGAAACTACAGAAAAGGTTAGTGGGTTTTCTTTGAAGTCATCGACAGTCCTAAATGGCTGCTAATTGTGAGAACACAGTAACACTTCTCTTCTCTCTTTATTTCTCTCTGCCAGGTAAGTGTTCTGACCACTCTGGAGAGACGCTTCAACCTCCAGAGCGCCGATGTGGGCGTCATTGCCAGCAGCTTCGAAATCGGCAACCTGGCCCTCATCCTGTTTGTCAGCTACTTTGGAGCCAAGGCCCACAGACCCCGCCTCATTGGTTGCGGCGGGATTGTCATGGCGTTGGGGGCGTTGCTGTCGGCCCTGCCGGAGTTCCTGACGCATCAGTATGAGTACGAGGCCGGCGACTCGTGGCACGCCGAGGACGGCAGGGACGTCTGCTCCAACAACTCCAGGTCAGAAAACCGAGACTCTGGGTTTAAGTGTGGCAACAGAGCCAACACCAACATGATGTACCTTCTGCTGATCGGAGCCCAGGTTCTGCTGGGCATCGGAGCCACACCCGTCCAGCCTTTGGGAGTGTCCTACATCGACGACCATGTCCACAGGAAGGACTCCTCGCTGTATATAGGTGAGTAACACTGAGCTACTGTACACATGGAACACATATGATGATTGTAAAGTAGTATTTATTGGTAAGAGGAGTTCTAACAGCTATTTTTTAACACTGAATTCTAAATCCTGTAGCAAATCCTTATGATGTGATCACTTGTGGTTGCTGAGATATTCACCCCTTTACAAATATATAGGACGGAAACACGTAACAGAGTTAGACACATTCAGAATCAGAGATTTAAAATAGCCTCTTTATTTCACATCGTCATGCAAGGGGACTCAATGTCTAACGTGTGCTTGTAGAAAAAGGGAGGCTTAATGGCTGTTTGCTGAGAGTAGGATGCAATATATTAAAGGGGACCTATCATGCAAAATGAACTTTTTGATGTCTTTTATACATAAATATGTGTCCCCGGTGTGTCAGGGAACTCATGCAGCGTCAGAAAACAAAACCCTCTCTCTTTTCCTCCGTACCCAAATCTCTAAAAACGGGGCTACAACGGAGCTGATCCAGATTTGCGTCCGATATGACGTAATATCGGCAATGTAGGCTGGCTTTACGCCCACGACCCTATCAGAAACGTTGCTATCAGAAACAATGCCAGACTGTTTTGGACATAATATGGTCAATGTTTACATTAGCATCGCTAACACTCGGAGCTAACCTGTACTGGAGAGCATGTGTGTGAAGAAGCAGGAAATAAAAAGGAACTCACCTTGTGGTATAACCGACAAGAGAGAAAGCCTTTGAGCTCCATACTGTTTCAGAGATAATCCTTGATAATCCATGATATGGCGTTTCATCACCACAGTATCTGCCGCATGAGCTCAGCTCCCTCCTTTTTTTTTATCACTTTTTTTTTTTTTTTAAAGCTTTATACCCAAATCAGCCCTTTTGAAACAGGAAGTGAAATAGAGAGATATGAGGCATGGCTAGAATGGGTGATCTGTTTGGTATTTTGAGCAAAACACTTCATAGACATGTTTTTTATATATTTGTATATATCTGAGACCTATGCTATTGCCTAAAAATTGCATGATAGGTGACCTTAAATCTCTTCACAACATCGACATATGAAGGTAGAGTCAACAGGCAGCCAGACTAAAAGCAAGGGCAAAGTAACAACTCCAAAAACCAAATCACATTTTATGTTTCTGCAAATGCAAAGACACTTTCCGAACCCATTGGCTATTAGTCCGACGATGATTAGGCTCTTGGGGAAGTGACCAGTATTTCTGGGGTTCTAGTTTAGCTTGTGGATAACCGGATAACAAGTATCAATACCAAGACTTCCTCTTCCGCAGGTAATTATTTCAGTCCGATAATCAGGTTGAGATGTGAGGATGGAGTTGGAGTTGACAGAGGACCGGATTGTTTCCCTCCATTCGTATACAGATTTATGTTGGCAGAGATAAATTGAAAGATGAATCAACGCTAGCTACAGAAGGGTTCTGAGTTTGCATTTTGGCAAATGTGTTCTGCCTCTTTTGCTCCCCTCATGGACTGTTGACCAGCATTCAACCAAAGTCCACTCCAACGTGATTGGTCAAAACTACTTAAGTGGAAAGCACGACGCTCCCGATACCAAAATCTGATCCCATGTCAACAGATAACTAATAAAATGCATACATTTGCAAACAGAGATTAAGATTAAACAAAATATAACGTTTTTATTATTCACATGTTGAAGCATATTGCCCAAAATGTCATACCATTTATTTAACGATGTGCGTTCGGACAGTGAACCCATAAGGCTCTTCTCTTATTTAAATCACATTCTACATGTTTTCAAAGGCTGTTGAATATGGCGCTTGTTTCAAATGCCAATACACCACATGTGACCAGAGTGTACAGATTAGTTAGGGTAGTTGAAATAAAAAAACAGACAATAATATTGGCTGAGACATCGAGAATGACCACAACACTAAGCTTAATTACACAACTTATAATAATGAAGAACATTATTAAGAACAAATCTTAAAAAAAAGAAAACAAACCTCTTTTGTCCCTCAACTAAGCAACAACTATCAACAGCTTGATCTTAAAGCTCTCTCAGTTACAGTAGCTGGAAGTAATAGGAAAACAAAGGCTAATGGCATAATAAAATCTGTACATTCAACATATCTATCAACATAAATGGGATGATTATGTTGTCATAAATGAAACATCACTGGGACATCAATTGCGTGCTCTAAATGATCAACTCTATTTAATTAAGACAGAGGATCCTTTTAGAAATACGAGATTAGTAAATTTACAAATAAACCAAATATTATCACTGATATAATCTTCAATTAGTCATGATAATTCCGACAATGGTTAATAACAGGTGCACATGCAGCAAAGTGAAAGCAGTGGTTGGGAGTTGAGGCAGGTTCAAAGACTGCAGCTATTTTAAGCAAGCTGATAACAAATACTTGAGCCTCATTAGAAGCAATAGCTCCTATAACAGTCTGAATTTCAAGGCTCCTACCTAGGTTGTTCACCAGGTCCCCAAACCATCCAAATAATGTGTTTGAACTGTCCCAAAATGTGTCTAAATAATGAAATTGTTTTCTTTCTTTTTGTCTTCCGTATTATTTATTTGCATAAAACCAAACATTTCAAATTATTAGGAAATAGAGCTAGTATTACGAAATTAGGCAACAATTCCCTCTCAATTCCTTATGTATACTTCTGTGAAGATCTCCTTCAAACATCTGTATTCATTATCCCTTTTTTGCCAGAAGCAACATTTTACAAGTATCATGAAAACATAATAATTTGCCTAATACTCATTATTAGTGAATAGAGCGTGAAAGCAATGGTGTAGTGGCATCCAAGGTTTCCTTTTGCCACTATAGAGCGGGGTTGACGACACGCAATCCAAAGCAATAAGCAGCCGAAGGTTTTCAGTCAAAAAATGTAATTTATTAACAAAAAAGTATTGACTTAAATAGTCTCAAAATAACAAATCAATATTTCGGCGATATACTTTCCTATATAAACTATACTTTGCAGTCCAATTTGCAACACTAGTCTCTGTTTACAATTTGCGGTCGAAAAACTGTTCCGCTCCCCGTCTCATCAGGTCTCAGAGAGGTCTCAATTGCTCAGAAAACAGATCATATTTACGATTTGAAATGAACAATAATTTCATCAAAAGATATTCACCATGGCAATATAAATCATTGTGTGTGTTTGTGACACTACTAAATACATAGATTTTTAATGCACTTGACAATTTCTAGGGTTTGGACTATTTTGCTTCCATAACATGTGTTCTCTCAGAATACCTAAAATACACATTTTGGTGTTTTTTTCACTATGTGAATTGACCAAGAGTAAGCATTATACAATGCTGAATTAGCATATACAAAATATATAATTTTCATTTACCTCTAGTGTTTTGCAAAAATGAAAGACATTTACATATCAATGCATTTCTTTAATTGGCATTATGTGTTTTTTCGTATACTCTTACATGCACCAAATGTTCCAGTGCTATTCTCATCTACAGTATATTCTGATGGATTATACTAGGGGTGGTTTAATCAAAGGTCATTCATAGCCTGATTTATGTAACATTGTATTCCTAAAAACATGGAGAAAATGTGTTTTATGGCTGTTGACAGTCATTTCTAAAACAAAGAAATATATACAATTCTCTCTGTGAAAAGATCTTTGACTCTTATACATCATATTTAAAGTGAAAGTATCATAACATTTGTTATACAAAAAACAAGATTCAATATATCCTGCCCTTTATCTAAGTGCCTTTGAGCAAACCACTTTTCCCATCTTTTACAAATGCTCAGTGGCCAGCAGCAGAGCTCTGCAGTTAAACTTACAGCAGGAACCGAGGGGTCTACATAACACACATTACAGTGTGTCTGCCAAAGTTGCTAAGGCAACAGTAAGGAGACAGGCACCGAGGCTTCATGCTATCCCTGTTGGTCTCACCGCTCAGCGACCTGCTGTAGCAGCGCTCCATCTGGGGAGATGGAGCGAATGAGGAATATAAATGTACAGCATAATGTTTGTTTTTGTTTGAATAAAATAATTTCAGCCAGTAAATCTGAAAAAGTGGAGCTGTGGTTCCTCTTCTCTAGCTGTGACTGTGAATGGACACACAAGCATTACAAGAGTGCTAAAAATGTATTAACATACAAACATGATATGCCAGCAGTGGGAAAATACACTGGTCAATGTAAAAAGTTACATTCACATCCTTTGTATTGAATATATCTTTAGTAGGTTGGTTTATTTGATTTGACATGGCCATCACAGTAGGATAAGAGTGGTATCATACATTCATGCACAAGGACCATGTGCACTGTGTTTAGCCTTTGTTGCAACATTTACAAGACCTCTGCTCAGGAGGCTTTAAAGAGAACCCAGTGCTCTGATTGGTTAGCTGGCCTGCTCTGTTGTGATTGGTCAACCGCTTAGAGATGTCTTGCCCATTAGCCTATCGCGTACAATGTGTTGGAGCGCTAGCCAATAGAAGCGTGAATGTTACATAGTGATGTCACTATGCTACAGAAGTAAACTAAGGAGTCCAATGGAGGCATTTCAGGCCGGGGGGGTGGGAAAGAAAATGTTACATGCACAAAAACCTATATAACAGACTACAGGAAACAGCATGATAGGGCCCATTTCATACAAAGTATAAATGAAAGAAAACATCTACAACAAAGCATCAACAAAATAAAATAAAAAAGTTTTGTCTGCACAATGTTGTCTCCCTGCATCATTTAATACCTTTATTAAAACATCACAATTGTGTTGCATTGTCCATTCAGTTGGTAAACAGTTTTTCATAATGCAATAATTGTATTTGTGTTGGTATTTATCTGTCATTATCATCCACAAAACTCCCTATCTGTGCATCTCTTCTTATTGCTTTTCACATTAATTTGCAAAGTCTACAGCTGGGTAATGACATGCATTCTAATATATAACACTAAAGTCAACATCACGTTAAACCACAAAGAGCTGATGCTGCAATTAGTCAATGCCCAGCTTTATTTATG